CACTGAATTTTTCTACTCTCTTAATAAAATATTATCGAAATATTAATGAAATTATAATGAAATTTTAATGAAATTGGGTCAAAATTGTGAATGCTTTTCAAACATATTTCAGCAAAAGTTCATTATATTTTCAATGAATTATTTCCATCAGATACAAATATCTCAATTGAGATCTTACATGCGAAATTTTGCGGAAACCTCAACTGAGAATTCAATTGAGAATTTAATTGAGAATTCAATTGGGAATTCAATTGTGATCTCAATAGAAATTTTTCAGTAGGGTTGACTCCTCTGCAGCAGTTTTACATGGTGTGTATGTGAAACTGCCCCATTTAATAACGTACATATGGCCCTTGATAGAATTAAATAGCCTATCTAGGAAACAGAATCTGCGCGCAATCTGCCGGCAGTCTGTCGTCAGAGTCTGTCGACAGGCTCTGCGCGCAGTCTGTCACCAATCTGTCGTCAGAAACTGCTAAAACAGTTTCTGTGTGCAGTCTGTTGCCATTCTATCAACAGACACTGTTGACAGACTCTGCGTAAAATCTGCTCGCACAGGTTTGGCTATCTGGGTTGCAATATCACTGCAATATTTCTACAATATTACGTGCTGTGTGCGTCTTAAACAAAATATCATTTTTTAAAATGATGAAAATAAAACTTTTATTTCGTTCAAGGAAACCTGTCATTTGATGAAACAACACTATTGTTTTAAATAATATTTTTTAAAAGTTTCTCACAAAATTTAGTAATTCGATTTGTTTAATTTGGATTTTCTTGGATTTTTTAATTTCTTTTTGTTGGATTAATCATTATAACATTTTGTTAAAAATGTAAAAGTAATTATCACTGGTTCACTACATTACATCAATATTCATCGCATATCGAATGTTGCATTGTTTCAATATCTATCGACAATTATCCAATAAACAACAAGTAAAAATTATATAATTATTATTTGGTGTTTGCTAGGTATGTTATAATATACTGTGAACAATATAAGGATACATTATATAAGCGTGAATTGTAAGAACATCGTTGGAGTCATCAGAGTCACCGTATGCGCGCTCGATCGTCAGGTTAAGCAACAGTTTAATGCAGTCAGAACATGGATGGGTCCAATGATATACCGCTTGGGATCAAAATTATCGCAGGAGGATTCATGAAAGTTTGGAATGTGTTGACAACCTTCGATATCTAGTAGTTTATGAGACATGAGAAAATTAGGAATATAAATATATTTTTATAAACATTATGATTTTCTCATTTTTCACCTTCGCATAATAATTCTCAGTATTTGATTCCTATCAATATTTAACAGTGATTTTATTATCAGTATTCATCAGAAATTAAGTATTGGCCAAAAAATTACTGAATTACTGGTAATATTTAATCACTAATAATTTTTCAGTATTTCTTAGTATGATATTTCTACAAAGGGTGAATGAGACTGCTATTGAGGACACCACTAACAACTGTAACGTCTGCTGATGTTTTCTCTCTTGATCGTGCGAAATGGATTCAACATCGAAATGTCTCCCACCACTTTCCCTACGGGCCTTCTTCGCTTCTCTCGCGTTGTACGTAAGACGTACAGTACGCCCTCTGTATATGCCTGTTGTCGCTTTTGACTATTTGATAGGCATATATGGGCCCGTCGAGGGACACCATACCTGCCTTTGAGTGTACACTCGTGGTCTAAAAGGTTTGTGCTCCGATTTTCTGTAGATTTCGGAACGCGTCCGAACTTCAGGAGAGAGACAACCACTACTTGACACGCCAGCGCCGCTGCTTATTACGAGAGCAGGATGGCATGTACGGTATATGCCATCCTTCTGCTCTGGTAATAAGTGGCGGCCCTGGCGTGTCAAGTAGTGGTTGTCTTTCCCGAAATTGGGACGCGTTCTGAAATCTACAAAAAATCGGTGCACAAACACTTATAGAAATATCATACTAAGAATCATTGATAATTACTTATTTTTAGTATTAAAAATACTGGATAATAAGTAATTATCAATGATTCTTAGTATGATATTTCTATAAGGGAACCTTTCAGACTACGAGTGTACGTCCAACATCACAGGCTGGCTCTTACATACTGCTAGCATTTATTGTTTATTTCTCAGCAACTACAAAAAAAAAGTCGGCCGACTTTTCTACAGTTTGTATTGTATTGGAATTAGAGATTTATAATTAGAAATTAAAAATTAAAAAATATTGATTTCATTAAAAAAACACTGACTTTTCTAAACGCTTTTCTTCTATGCTTTACTTAACGCATCTGTATTAATATTATATTTAAAAACTTCTAATTCCAATAGAATAAACTTTGAAAAAGTAATTTTTTTAATCATATCGATATCTCTTTTGTAGTTGACGAAAAATAAGCAATAAATGCTATCCATACAGCACAGCAATATTGCAACAACATTACAGCATCATTGTTATACAATATTGTGACATTGCAATAACGTTGCAAAATGTTGCTGCACTACTACTGTAATGTTGCAGCAATGATAAAATGTCCGCTTGCGGCAATATAACAACGCAACTGTGCAGCAACATTGCAATGCAATATATATGTAATATTATTACTATGGTTTATTATACAAAGTAAAATCCCAGATAATATCTTTACTGGAAAATCATACTAATATGTATTAAAAAATTATTAGTGATTATCATTAGTTCAGTAATTTTTTCGTCAGTACTTAATTTTTGGTGAATACTGATAATAAAATCACTATTAAATATTGATAGTAATCAAATACTGAGAATTATTGTGCAAATGTAAAAAATGAGAAAATCATAATATTTAAAAAATATATTTATAACTCCTAATTTTCTTATGTCTCATAAACTACTAGATATCGAAGATTGTCAATATACAACTTCAAAATTTGTGAATCCTGCCTCGATACCCAC